AGTCACAGATAAGCTATGTACCTGCCCAAGAAGCAAGAGATAATAAATTACAAGCTTCATGGTAAAAATACAAACTAATAGAAATGGGTTAATTTAAGATGTAAGAGTTAGTAATAAGAAGCCTGAGCTAATAGGCCAAACAGTGTTGTAATTAATATAGTTTCTGTGTGATTATTCAGGCCGGGGCAGCTGGGAAATGAATGACTATAATAGAAGTCTGCCAAAAAAATACATTTCCTGTTTTCTATTGGAATTTTTGACATAAATTTCATTCTCCATACTTTTTCTATCATCCAGAGAAGTATGTTTTTTTTTTTTTTTTTTACAAAAGGCACTGAATTTTAATTTTCCTGGGGAGACATGGCCTCCACAGTGACTGGGAATGACTGGACCACATTTGACCTGGGGGCCTGTGAGAGGCCCTCCCACGGAGTTTCCCAGTGGTATTGTGTTGCCTTGTTTGTATCTTGTTGATCTACATTCATTGGTCCAATGTTGACCTTTGCCACATCTACATAATCCAGAAGATTGAGACCTTCTACCTTTGTCATTCCCAGAGGAAACATTATTTCTAGAATTGCCTTGTCTACAATCCCTTTTCAGATGTCCTATTCTACCAGAATTAAAATATTTGGTATTTTTAAAAATTGTTTTTAGTTGAGTTTTTAGTTCCCTCCCTCCCTCTCCGCTCCTTTCTACCCTCTCCCATAGTCCCCATGCTCCCAATTTACTCAAGAGATCTTATTTTTTCTATTTCCCATGTAGATTAGATCCATGTATGTCTCTTGTAGGGTCCTCTTGATTTCTAGGTTATCTGGGATTGTGATTTTCAGGCTGTTTTTTTTCTTCTTTGTGTCTAAAAGACACTTATGAGTGAGTACATATGATATTTGTCTTTCTGGGTCTGGGTTACCTCACTCAATATGATGTTTTCTAGATCTATCCATTTGCCCACAAATTTTAAGATGTCATTTTTTTTCTGCTGTGTGGTACTCCATTGTATAAATGTACCACATCTTCCTTATCCATTCTTTGGTCAAAAGGCATTTGGTTTGTTTCCAGGTTCTGGCTATGACCAACAATGCTGCTATGAACATAGTTGAGCACGTGTCCTTGTGGTACGATTGAGCATTCTTTGGGTACATACCCAAAAGTGGTACTGCTGGATCTTGAGGTAGGTAAACATTTGGTATTTTGATGTTTCTTCATAGCTTTGGAAATTGCTTCTCCTACCTGAGCCTCAGTATTATAGTCAAATGACTCAACATTGACTGTGTGTAGGATCCAAACATTTGTTCTGATCTGACTTTTAAGGCCCAAGTTTCTTTTTGCATTCTAAGCTGGTATTTTTTAAAAGCTAGAGATTCAATAAGTACTCATCTAGCTTCTGTATCTGTTACTCCTATTTGTACAGCTTTAGTTAATCTTTTAAAAAGTCACTAAAGGGTTCTCTTGGGCCTTGTCGGACTTTAATATATGATTCAAATTTTCTTCCTAGTTCTTGAATCCTTTCTCAAGCATACAAGGCTGCTGTATGGTGTATTCATTGTAAATAGTTTGACTCTGTGAATCAACAGCTCTTGCCAAAAATTTGATCTTGGGAAGCCTCAAATTCTTTGACTCTACCTTTATGTTCCATGGCTTTAGTCTCCTCTCTCCAATAGCACTTCCTCTGTAACTGTGGTTCATCTTCTAGTGCTGCTGAGACCAATTGAAGCCAATTAGGTGGAGTAACCCTATTGCTTGAAGTCCATGTCTTACCATCTCCCTAACAAATGGTGAATGCATGCCATAAGATATTATTGCTTGCTTAATTTCTTTTAGATTTCATACCTATAGGTTTCCATTTACATTCTTTGTATCAATTTGGGTATTAAGTATTTGCTGGCTTATCAGAGGTAACAGGATAAGTAGCTAAAACTCTTGGTAAATCATCTCTGAATCTGAGAGGTACTGACAATGCTAAGTCCTTTGCTTGTACTTCCTCTCCTTGCTTATCAGTTCTGAGAAGTTCTTCAATAGATTCAAATATTTTTATCACTGTCTTCTGTAAAGCTTGAACATCTTGACCTGTGGATATTTCTAATGATGCTATCAAATCAATTAATTTCTGGTTCTCATTCTGCACAGGTGATTCCAAGGTTTTAAAATTTTCCATTAATAATATCTTCTCATCCTTACATATTATTTGGATGGTGTGAAGACTGCCCTCCTGGAGGGATGTTCTATCTGCTGGTTTGTCATAACCTTTTAACATATTTTGATTGTCAATTTCAACAGTATGAATCCTTTCAGATAATCTCCCAGTACCCTTTTGTTAGGATTCATAACCCATTGACATGGATTGAATTTTGCCTGTCAAGTTAAGGATATAATTTTCAATATTAAGGATATCATTTTCAATAATATGAATCCTTTCAGCTAAAGACCCTATCCTTTCTAAAAGTTTCTCATTCTTGACTCTGTTATCAAACCATTTCTTTAAGAATATATCATGAAGAACAAAGCTAATGGCCTCCATGATCACAAAAATATATTGTAGAATTCCATTCATAGTAGAAGCAAAAAGGTTGTTAAATTCCTGGATGGTGATATTGTCTGCAATAATCTTGGGGTTGGTTTACAACCTTCAAATTTATCTTATTCATTAATCAAATTAACTTAACCTCTGTCATAATTTTCAGAAAGTTGTAGGTGTAATAACCTTAAATTGCCAGCAGGTGTCGCAATAAGGTAGTAAGGCAGGTTCTAGATCAGTACCTGAATTATCGGAGACTTAATTACTAACAAATTTAGTTAATTACTTAAGAGCAGCACATCTGTATATAGAGAAAGTTAGAGTCGGGCAGAATATCAAGGAACCCAGACTTGCAGGCAGTCATGAGACGGGAGGTTACTGGCTGGAGCTTGGGCCAGGCATTCGCAGATCTAAACTGGGAATACAAGCCAGTGCAGCCTCTGCTTCTGGAGTCAGAGCTCGGCCTGATCAGATCAGGCCTGGCAGAAGCCGGACAAGCCGTGGAGTAGTTTCTGCAAAAAGTTGTGGGCGGCAGTAAGTCAGCTGCTTAGTAGGCCCAACCAAGCCAAGCGGGTGCAAGGGCACAGGTGACAGAAAATTGCCAAGTTGCCGTGCGGTGGGCCAGCCAAATGGTGCCTGCCAGAGAGTTTGTTCAGCTGCAGAGGGGTGGGAGAAGGCCGCTGTCAGGGACCTGGGCAGGGTCCAGCAATGGCGTGATCCCTGGCCACGTGGGCGCCAATCTGTTGGTGTACAAAAGAGCTCCACAGTAGCCCAGAATGAAGGATAATACAGTTTTATTTATCTGAGGATAAACTCACAGAAAGAGTAGTGATCCATAGTTCTCTCTGTGTACACTGGGAACTGGAGCGAATCCAGCAGCCAAGAGGCCTGCACATGTTTTTCATCTGTATTTATAGCACATGAGACCATGCCCAAAGTGTCCCGTATCTTAAAGGCTATTAAGGTGTTCCCACAGCAAGTGCTTCTTTTTCTCGGTTCTGGGATTAGAACACAGGACCCTGAGCATTCCAGGTGGCCATTCTGCCATTGGGCATGATACTTTCATAAAGGCAATGGGAGGCTGGAGAAAGTTAAAACGAAAGGTCAGCTATGATATATAAGGCTTTGTTACCATAGCACAGAGATAAAGAAAAAAAATTTGCTTGCAGAATTTCTAGGAGGTAGGAAATAACAGAATGGTTTTGCAGGGAGTAGAGGTTCCTCATGCAGCAGACAGAACAGATTAGTGATGAAGAGAGCTAGAGAAAGTTGGAATTATCTTAAGAAAAGAAGAAGAAGAAGCTGGCTGGTAAGTTCCAGAGGGTGAAGTGTTTGGAGCCATCATTCATGGTACAGCTTCCAAAGAACCAAAGTCAATGGCAGCAACCCTTCTTAACTTTCTCTTTATCCACTCCATCAGGTTGCTAAGCATCCCTAGTCTACAGGAAGGTCTTCCTTACGAAGAACTGAAAAGGCTCTTGATAACAAACCTCTGGTAAAGTCATGCTTTCCTTTGGGAGGAGATGGAGATCTCTAGCCCTGCTTTCCTCGTTAGCATCCTTACTAAAATGTTGTAACATGGAGGCCTGCTTGTTGGGGTTTCTGTCCTGCCCAGTTCCCACAGCTGGTAAGCCCCAAAGAAAACCACACAGAGAGTCTACATGAGTTATAAACTGATTGGCCCATTAGCTCAGGCTTCTTATAACCTCTAAATGGGTCACAGTGTTGGATAAATGTACATAGGCTTGGGAGAGAGAAGAAAAAGAGTATAGAGAGTCCTAAAATAGAGTTAATGCTTTAAAAAAAGGGTAAAGTCTTTAAAGAGACAGAATACAGATAGAGATATAAAAGTAAAGAAAAATAAGCCACATAAAAATGGTAAATCACAGAGAGTCTACATAAATTATAAACTAATTGGCCCATTAGTTTAGGCTTCTTATTAACTCTTATAACTTATATTAGCCCATTATTCTTATCTATGTTAGCCACATGGCTCGGTACTTTTTCCAAGCAGGGCAAGTCACATCTTCCTTCTTCTGTGTCTGGACAGGACTGAGAAGGAAGCTTCCTTCTTCCCAGAGTACTCCTGTTCTCATTGTCCCACCTCTATTTCCTGTCTGGTTGTCTTGCCTATACTTCCTGCCTGGCTACTGGCCAATCAGTTTTTATTTAAAACATAAATGACAGAATACAATTGTCCCACACTAAAATGTGGCTTCTAGAATTGGACATATCCTTAGCAGACAAATCCATCCCATGGCAGCATGTATCCAAGGCACTCGTGAATATATTTGGGATGTTTTGATCAAGAAATAGGTTCTGAGTAATTCTAGAGCAAAAGGATATTTATTTGGTTATAAAATAGGGGCCAGTAACATGGTACAGTGGGTAAAAGCATTTGCCTGATGCCATGAATTGTATCCTGGAACCCAGGGACCAGGGTCTAAGCATCTGGGATGCAGGGACACATATGTTTGGATCACATGCATCTCTCCATGTGTGCATGAAGTGTGGACATGTGGCGTGAGGCTGCAACAGGCAAGTCCAGTTGGTTTCTGAGGTTTGCCTGCAGTTGCAAATGGCTAAGGAGAGCTGTGCATGCAACTCAACACACAAATTGATCAGCACTTAAGCCATGATACGTTTTATTTTTCAATTTCTTTTTGTAATGTGAACTTTGAAGACGACCCCTGCTAGAATCTTTTTTACAGAAATCCAACCCCAGAACCTCACTGCAGTAATTCTGTTTCTATTGTTGTGGCTGTAATACATGACAGAAAGAGTTTATAGGAGGTAATGTGCATTTGATTCATGTTTTCTAGAGATTTCAGTCATATTAGAGCAAGAAAGATTTGGCCAGCTCTGTCTAAGAGATTTGAAGACAAAGGTGGTGGCTATTCCCCACCAGGAGGCTGTGGCTCTTGACCAGGAGGCAGAAAGTGAGCAGATTCAGGGTCAGGTTATAACTCTCAAAGGCCTGATCCTAGTGACCCAGACTCCACCTCCTGAAGAGTCCACAAGACAGCACCACCAGCTGTCTAGACACCACACACATGAGCCTGTGTGGGGCGTTCTAGATTCAAACTATCAAATCACCTTAGTTCAATCCCAGATCTCCAGTGAGGGTATTTCTTCCTGCTGTTACTGTCCTAAAGGATATTGCAATTATTCTATTGGGTGACTTTTCATTGTTCCTGATGACAGCTCAGGCATCTTATTGATTAAAAGACTCTTTTTTCATTCCTGGTCACATCCTGGGCTGGCCACTACCCACAGTGGTTTTATGTGAAAAAATGTGGAAATGGAAGGTTCCAGCTGCAATCACCTTTGTGTCTTTCCACCTCTTTCATGTTGTCATCCATGCTCTTCTGTCATTCCCACCTTCTCAGCAGCCACCTCTGTAGGCAGAGTTTTCATCGGGACCCTGATCAGCTCTGTTCCTCCAGCTGCTTCTCAAATAACCACCCAGAGACTAATTATTAATTATAAGTGCTTGGGTGACAGCTATGGCTTATTACTAACTAGCTCTTACAACTTAAATTAACCCATCTCTATAATCTATGTGCTGCCCCAAGGCTCAGGGCTTTTACCTCTCCTATAGGTCCTGCTTTCTTTCCATCTCTCTGGTGACTCCTCTGATTCCAATAATTTTCTTCCCAGCATTTTCCCTGCCTCGAAAATTCTGCCTAGCTTTTATCCAATCAGTTTTTTAAACAATGAAAGCAATACATATTTATAGTGTACAAAGATTGTTCCATAATATACTCCTCCTTTATCTTATCTTCTCCCCTAAAACCTTGTTCCAGCAGTTGGTTTTCTATGTCTTACACCTTCCTCCTTGTCTTTTATTCATTTATATCTGTGAGGCAGGATCCTGAATAGGAGGCTGAGGCAGGAAGCTATCAGATCTGAAGCCAGACTGGGCTGCCTACTGACTTTATAGCTATTACAAATAAAGCTGCTATGAAGTTTTATGTGTGTGAGCTTGTGTAAACAGAAAATTTCATTTATTGAGTATGTTTTTCCAAGAATACAATTACTGGATTTACAAAGAGAACACCCACTTAGTTTATTTGTATTTTTCTGAGGTCAGTCCTTGTTGTGTAGCCTGGACTGGCCTAAAACTCACTAAGTAGCATATCATAGCCTTGAACTCACTGTCTTCCTACTTTGGATTCCTGAGTGTTGGGATGAGGTGCATGTACCACTATGCCTGGCTCCTAGATTTATTTGTTTATTGATTGATTGATTAGCTTTATTGACTGAGTTGCTTTTTCTCATGGTGATGACCAAACACACGATGAGGCAGCTGAAAGGACGTAGGCTTTGTTTTGGGTCAGGATTTAAGGGGTGCAGTCCACTGTGGCAAGGAAGGCATGGAGGCAGGAGTGGCTGGTGGCTGTGTTGGTGGGGGCTTGTTCATCTGGCAGATCAGGGCTTGGAGATGGACAGGAAGTCTTTCTTGTCCTCTTCATCTTCTTCCCATCTCCTCCTCCTCCTTTCTGCTTTTCAAGCGTCACCGAAACTGCTCTTGCCCAGGTGACCAGTGGTTAAATGTTATGGTCGCCTTTAACCTCTCCTGTCCTCATCCTCTTCATCACCCGACATTCAATAGAGCCCTTTCTTCCTAGTAGTCATGAGCTGTCTGTCTCAGATGTCTTTCAGGATTGTGACCCTGGATAACACCTGCTATACACTAGAGACTCCGATTCTTACCAGCCGATAGCTCATGCCACTACATGGAGCTTAAACCTCTATATTTTTCATGCTCTCTGAATTTTGTACATTGTGTCTAGCTACATAGGTGTATATTTGAGTGTTTAAACTTCAAAACTGAATTTAAAAATTATTTAATTGATTTATTGATGCAAAAATATCCATACATATTTATGGGGTATAGTGTGGTGTTTCAGTACACGTATATGTGGTACAGTGCTAGGATTAGAGTGGGCATATGCAGAGCATATTTACCCTGTTCTTATGTAATACATCATATTTTCCTCATCTGTGATATAAATCTCTTTTCTTGTCCTAACTGTGTGAGAGAACAACTTAGGAGTTAAGACTTATCTTGGCTTCCAGGTCAGGAAGGTCAGTCTACCCTGCTGGGAGACTGTGGCAGAGCAGGAAAGTTCATAACATGGTGGCCAGAAAGCAGAGAAAGGGAACACAGAAAGGAGTCAGGGTAAGACTCACTCATAATTGGTTTCTAGCCATAAATAAAGGACATTGAGTCTATTAAAAAAAAAAGAACCCTGAGAAGAAGCCCCAGCACCAGTGAGCTTCCTGATGGGCCAGCATCTTCTACCTTTCCCACCTCCCAGAAATGTCATTTTATTATGAATCTATTGAGGCTGAGTCCATTTGTTAGGGCAGAGCTTCCATGCTGTGAATTGTCTCTGGAGGCACCATCTAGACTCACCCAGAGGTATGTTCCACTAATCTAGATGCTTCTCAAGCCTATCCTGTTGACAAGATTAACCATTACAGGTCCTCGTCTTATCAACCTGACAGTCAAGCAAATCTTAACCAATGACATTATAGTCATCCTCCTCTCCTATAGAACACCAGAACCAAATTATCACTTATTTATTCTTTCATAGTATACACATACACATACACACAGAGAAACACACATAGATGCACACATGGACACATATATATGCACACACACATGCGTACAAATAGACACACAGGGATACACACACAGATATACAGACACACACAGACGTAGAGACACACACATAGAGATAACACAGAGACACATAGATACACACACACAGACACACAGAAACACACAGACATGTACATGCACGCACACAATGTACTGGGAACACATTCCTCTTCCCATTATTCTTTCTTGTCTCTTTAACCCTTCTAGCTTTTTCTATTTACTTAATTATAACTTGGCAACTATTGACCAACTCCACACCCCATTTCCTTTACTCTTCCAAAACTTTTTTTTCCTCCTCATCTTTTAGACTTCATGAAATATTAAGAATACTTAAGCTTGCATTTAAATTTTGGGTCATTTCCCCTCTTGGTTGGCTCATGTTAGGATAGAATGATCCAAGCCTTCTTTACAGAAAACTTAAAAATATCCAGTCAATTGAGGATATCTGGCAGTAAGTGAGCCCCAGATGCCTGGAAATGACTTCCCCTGCAGACAAGAGCAGGTGAATTCAGGGTTGGATGGCCGTAGACCTGACCCTTCCTGCTATGCCTCTATTAACATCCAGAAAAAATCCAAACAAACCAACCAGCCTACAATGCAATATCTACCCAAGCAACTTAAGTAGAAACGAATTAACTTATCTAATAAGAAATTTTATGATGGCATATCTCAAGAGTTGATTTACTCAGTGTCTCAGTGGTATCATGAAGAGTCTTCCCTATCTTTTCATCCTATCAATATGGCTACACCTCTCATGGTTGAGTTCAAAGCCAGCCTGCTTACAGAGCTGGGTATCATTGTCATAAACTACAAAGATCACTACACTATTTTTAGTAATGTAACCTATTTCCCATGTAAGGCTTAGCCACTGATTTGTTTTGGTCCCTGGGACCAAGTTGCAGTTATCATAAGATAACTAAAGATGCTGGATCAGGAGTAGCATCCCACATGAAATAATAAAAGCTCCTGCATTGTCATGAAATTTGGGGGTGGTTTCTTAGGTTACAAAAGCTAGGGAATTGGACCACAGGCAGGTGTAACAATACAAAGAAACAGGAGAACAGCCACATTGACACTATGTTGGTTTTAGCTGATAGAATGTTTCCCTGTGTATCCTTATATCCTCAGCTAGAAGTGAATTCCAGGTAGGTCTGCTTCTAAACCCTAGCAAAGGGAATAAACGGAATGTGCTTGCTTGGGAAGGCACTGGGACTATGTAGAGAAACAGTTTTCTGCTGACAACAGCAAGTTTTTATCTTTGTGTGTGGGGAGGGGGTGGGGAAGAATTCCACTTGGAGGAAGAACTATCAGGGAAATAGCAATAATTTTATTTATTTATTAATTTATTTATTATTTATTTAACAGGTCTATAATTGACATCTGTTCTAGGTGGCTCCTAGTAGCTGCATTTTCTGATTCTCTTTTTCTCCTCACCTGCAGTTGTGACTAACTGGGCAAAGAATGCTGCACTGTTCAAGAAAAAGGAACCAACCAGAGTTTCTCTCCAGATGTTTGGAATTGTGAGTATGCAGCAGCATGCATGGGATGGGGAGCACATCAGGTAGGTATGCTGTGGGAACGCAGAGAGGCCTCAGCTTCTAGACTTGCTTATTCTCCAAGAAAGGATTTCATGAATGGGGGCTGAGGAAGGGAAATGGCAGAGACACACAAAGATATAGAAGGAGGAGGGAGAAGGGAGGGAAAGAAGAAAGGGGGAAGGGAGAGAGAATCTAATTAACATTTTCTATTTTGTAGATCTCGGGGCAGGCAGCTGGTTGGTTGCTCTTGGCTTCGTGAGACACCTCTGTAATTCTTATAATGATTTCCTCTGTCATTTGCTTGAATTAGCCCTAATGAGCCTCTGTCACTCACACTAAGTATTTTAAACACTATTTTTATGAAAGGATGATCAGCCTCATTCATAATAAGATAAATGAAAATGAAATTACACAGAAATACCATTTATCACTTACCAGGTGGGACAACTTTGTTGTTTGGACTGTGGGGGACACATGATAGGTGAATAGAAAAGGTTGTAGCCCCTGGGGATGGCAAGCTGGCAACACAGATCACCTTTAAACATGTGTTTATTCTCTGACCTAGCATCCTTAGGTCTGGGGATTTATGCCACAGAGGTGCTGAACAGGGAGGAAGTGGTGTATATGCAAGGTCACTGGCTGTAGCATCGTTTGTGGTATCAAGAGTTAGGAAGGAGCTCAAGTATTTACACATCAAGACTGTTTAGGGCTAGGGAAATGACTCAGTTGATTAACTGTTTTGCCATATAAGCACAAGGGCATGTGTTCAAAGGCCAGCATCCATGTAAAAGGACAAGTGTGTTGGTATACATGTGTACTTTCAGTGCAGGAGAGGTGGCCCAAAGCCAAGTGCTGGGCTTGTTGATCAAGCAGTTTAGCTGACCGATGAACTTCAGGTTCAATGAGTGTGACAGTTTGGCTTTAATTGTCAACCTGACACAATCTAGACTCACCTGGGAAGACTCTCAACGAAAGATTGTCTAGAGATGTTTGCCTATGAGATACTTATGAGGTGCTGTGCTGGGTTACATTTATTGGTGTGGAAAGACCTACCCAGCCCACTGTGGTTTGGGTTCTGAACTGTATAAGGCTAGGGAAATAGAGCTGACCAGTAAGCATGCATGCATAGTTCCTGCTGTCTTGACTTCACTGCTGTGGTGGACTGTCACCTGGTATTGTGAGATACATAGACCCTTTCTCCCCTAAGTTGCTTTTTGTCAGATATTTTTATCACAGCAGTGAAAATGAAGCTAGGATAATGCTATGCAAAAATGCTCTTGTACACTGTAAAGATTTGTCACTTCTATTGGTTTAATAAAACACTGATTGGCCAGTAGCCAGGCAGGAAGTACAGCAGGGCAACCAGACTAGGAGAATTCCGGGAAGAGGAAAGGCAGAGAGACACAGTCACCAGCCAGATATGGAGGAATCAAGATGAGAATGCCTTACCCAGAATCGGTGCCAAGTCATGTGGCTAAACAAAGACAAGATTTATGGGCTAATTTAAGTTGTAAGAGCTAGTTAATAATAAGCCTGAGCTAATAGGTCAAACAGTTTATAATTAATATAAGTCTCTGTGTGTTTCTTTGGGACTGAACGGCTGTGGGACAGAAACTTCCATCTACAGGATAGTGAAAAACCCCACCTCAAAAATAAGGTAAAGCACCTTCTTTATACAAGAGTGAAGCAGTTTGCATGAAATCTCCACCATATGGTTGCCTAAATAAAACCTGTCAAGTGACAACACTGCCTGAATCCCAATGTGGATGGGAGGACCTCACAAGGCTCCACCTCTAGATGAATAGCTACAGGCAGTTAATAGCTGCTGAGAGCGTGAGAGAGAGCCAGTCTGCTCATACCAAGCATTACCTTCTATGGAGCATGGCATCGCTGCAGTGCCTGATGGAAACCATGTTCTAACATGTAAGGAACTCCAGAAAACGTAAGTGAGAAAATGAAGTGCGGAATGTTGTTCATGTGTGGGACCTTCTGCATGAGACAGGGAGAGGCAGTGTTTAGTCCTAGTTTTTTACATTCAGACAAGTCAACTTGATCACAGGAATATAGAGAGGTGAACAACAAACCAATAAATGAACAAACATGCTTACTCCCAAGGAGTAGTGAGAAGGGCTTGGATGGAAGGTACACTTCTTAACGATGACCTTCTAATTTTGTTTTGACTTTTGGAAACGTGAATGCATTAACTGTTCTAAAAATGAACTGGAGTGAAAAGCTGTTACTTTAGCAAGAATATACCGTTCTGTTCTACCCATTGTCTGAAGAATTCAGGGCAGTGGGAGGAACACATGCTCTGCTAATATCTTGATACTTTTTTCTTAATTTTTTTTTTTAAAATCCACCTGGACCTGGATTGTCCTGATAAAATCCTGAGGGCACAGAAAGGGTGCCCCCAATATTCCTCTAACTGAGCGGCTTCTTATGTGCCTCTACACTTGCCAACACTGTTGCTTGTTAACAGGCTCTCTCCCTGCCAGCCACACGGCACCTGTAAGAACAGTGTTATGGATGAACATCTCGCTTGGCCAGCTAAAGATTAAACTGACTAGCCAAGAACGTAAAAGAATCCCAGGACAAAAAGAGATGCTGTGTAAAGGTATTTTGTTTTGTTTTGTTTTTTAAACTGGCAGCGATGGGGTAGCCTTTTAGAGGAATGAGCAAATTGATTTTCTGTTAGCCATATGTTCTCACTATTGGTACTCTTTCATTAAAAGCAGGGGTAAGCAAAGATGGGAGAGAGAGGAGGGGCCCTCAGGGGAGGAGTGCTGAGGTGGCATCTCTTGCACATGTGAGTGACAGGGTATTGGTAGCCTGGGAACCCCAGTGTTTCAGTGCTCAGAGGCATACACTTCAGTAGTTGGTGGCTTTGTGAACACAGGTAACTCCTCTGGGCCTCACTTTTCTAATTCGTATAAAGACATAACAGCATTACCCATTATAATTTGAATGTAATAAGAATGCTAAGTGAAGTACTGCATGGAAAAGTTTATAATAATAGTAACTCTTACTTTATTTTTAATTGTATCAATTTATTTTTATGTGTATGGGTGTTTTGCCTGTATGTTTGTCTGTGTACCACATTCATGCTTAGTGTTCATGAAGGACAGATGAAGGTGTTGGATCCCCTAAGACCAGAGTTAAAGACAGTTGTGGGCCACCTTATAGATTCTGGGAATCGAACCTAGGTTCTCTGGAAGAGCAGCTGGTGCTCTTAACCTCCGAACCATTTCCCCAGCTCCATAATAATTATTATATGATTTCAGACTAAATTGAAGAGTAGGTGGGTATATAAAAGGTTGCTTCCTCTCCCTTCCCCCAACTTAGTGCAATCCTGTCAAAGGAGGGAGTGAGTACTGGATTCAGGTTTGCAAGGATCTAAGTGGATACAGTGTTAGGGGTGAGAATGTGTCAAACCAGGCATGGCAGGGGATGAACTAGCAAGCAAGACAGAACCACTTTCAACCTCACAGAGATCGTAGACTGCCTAGAGAGATGGAGGAGGATGTGGGCTGAATGTGTCTCCTCTAAGTTCAGGTGTGCACCCTAACCTCCAATGTTATGATAGTCAGACTTGAAGCACTTGAAAGGTAATCAGGTCGAGAGGAGGTAGACAGCGTGTCTCCTTCTCACCCCTGTGCCATGGATTAGTGCCATCATAAGAGGAGGAGATCAGAGCACTTTCTTTTCACCCAGTGATGAAGGCAGCAACTCGTCAGGGTGGGAGAGGCCCTCCCCAGACAGCGGTCTGTGACACTCTGACCACAGACTCCCCAGCCTCCAGAACTCTGAGAAGGCAGTGCCTGTTATTTTAAGCCAGAAGTTCTACAGTATTTTATTGCAGTAGCCGAGTTAAGACAGTTCATAAGTCCAGAAGCCATGAAGCGGGGTGGGCACATCATGTGAGTTTAGGATGACCGAGAATGACAGGCAAGGGGCTCTGGACTTGTACCCTAGGGGTCAAGTAAGGAGCCAGAGATGGAAGTTTCAGATCCCAAGTCTGCCCAGTGATGAAACAGATCTTTCTCTCTCGGTGTGTCTGTTTCTCTCTCTCTCTCTCTCTCTCTCTCTCTCTCTCTCTCTCTCTCTCTCTCTCTCTCTCCCTGCACGTGTGTGTGTGTGTATTTCTCTCTCTGTGTCTGCCTCTCTCTCTGTCTCTCTCTCTCTGTATATGTGTATTTCTCTCTCTGTCTCTCTCTCTCTGTCTCTCTCTCTGTATGTGTGTATTTCTCTCTGTGTGTCTGTCTCTCTCTCTCTCTCTGTCTCTCTCTCTGTCTCTCTCTCTGTCTCTCTGTCTCTCTCTCTCTCTCTCTCTCTCTCTC